GGGCCGGAGCCTGCGGTGTTGGGGGGCTAGGCAGAATGGGGGTTTCAAAGTGGGTGTGCTTTGAACAAGATGCATGCCGGGTGGCCCTCAGTCAGGTGGCAGGAGCAAAATACGCTCCCCCAAAGAGACGCACCATCATCGGCAGGCGCGTGAACGCGCTGAGCACGTGCAAGCGGGCAGCATCACGGCCCGCACACTCCCGCTTGCACCCCCAAGCCAACTGCGCCGCCCCAGCCTCAGCTCACCATGAAGTCAACAACGCTGCGCAGCAGCACCCGCGCCGCCGGCAGTCCAGCTGCGATCCGCGCCGATCCCGGCCACTCGTCAAACGGCAGCAGCGGCCCCCACCCGCCCGACAGCGGCGCGAGCGGCGTGCCCGGCAGCGGGAACGGTGGCGCGTCGGGGCCGCGGTTCACGACGCCCGGCAGGTAGGCGTGGTTGAGCAGCACGCCGACGAGGACAGTCGCGGAGACGCGCTTGAGGTCAGCGCGGATCATGCTAGCGATGGTGATGTAGCTCTGGGGGTGGTGGAACACGGTGCCGCCCATCTGCGAGGGGGGGCGTGTCAGGCAGGCGGCGTGGGGAGGAGTGGAGAGTGACGGGCGTGAAACCAAGGTGGTTGTTGCACCGTGTGTGGTGCTGGCGTCAAGCGATCCGCTAAATCTAGGGATGGAGGCGCTGCAGGGGGGCCAGGCTTTGGAGAAGCATCGGTCCAGGCAAGGTGCCAGCTTAACACCAGCTCGAAGGACGCGCTCAGTGGCAGCTGTGCATTGGGCTGTGGCTCCGGCCGCCACAAGCCCCTTACACGACCCCTCCCCACCCCGCCCCGCCCTCGCCCTCAGCCCCGGCTCCGCCCTCGACTCTTGGCGCTCACCTCGCCCTGCATGGCGAACCAGAAGGTCTTCGCCTTGTGCCCCGCCCGTTTCTGCGACAACGCTGACGTGGCGGCCCTGGTGATGGGGCGGATCATGATGTCATAGTAGCTGAAGCCGTTCACGTCAGGAGACAGGGGGTCAAAGATCAGCATGTTGCGCCTGTGTTGGCAATATGGGCGCGGTGGGAGGGTAAGGTTGATCCACAAAGGGCATGGTGCAGGCCGGGGTGGCCGTGTGCTTCTCCATTTTAGAAACGGGAATGCACAGCAGCACTTTCTGCCTCCAGTTGCAGTTGCCAGGCTCAAGCCTATCTTCATCTTACGTGCAAAGGGCGCCATGACCACCCTCCGACCACCCTCCGACCACCCTTCCGCCGCCCCCCGACCACCGCTCACCAGTGGCTGGTCCGCGTGCCATCATCCAGGTGGGGCGAGATCAGGACCTCGTCAAACAGGTCAAAGGCCAGGGTCAGGCAGGACGCAAAGCCGCGCGTGGCCTCGGCGACTGCCTTCTTGGTCCAAGGCTGGCAGCCCTCTTTGCCCGCCTGATCTGAGGGTTTGGCGTGAGCACGCGGGCAGGATTTGCAGTCGGTGCGACACACGTCGGCGTGACCTTGCGCGGTGGGTGCAGCTAGGGGGACTTGCAGACACGGCTTCAGCAATTCAAAGAGATGTGATAAGTCCTTGTTTGCGCATCGCAAGCAACCCCTGCTTGCGCACAGTAGCAGTAGGAGTCCACTTTGCTGCTGGCGGCCCAGCCGTCAGGGTTGCACGTCCGAGGCAGCTCCCGGAAGCGGTCGTCAATCCAATAGAACGTGGGCACCTAGATTTGTGCAAGGCGGTCATTTTTGATGCCCGGTCAAGCAGAATGTCATGACACGCGTGCTTGCCATCCAAACGCGATGTCACCCAAAGCAACGCGCATGTTTGGGCACCGCAGGGTGCACTCACGATGTTGACCGAGTTGCTGCCATGAGTGGCTGCAGCCTGCAGAAGCTGGGGGCAGCGGGTGTCAAAGTCTTCGTTGCTGAAGATCATCACACTGCTGCTGAGCGGCACGGCCTTGGCCAGGGCGTGCGGGGCGGCGGTCGCCAGGAGCAGCAGCAGCAGCGCCATGTGATGCGGACACGGCTGCAACCGCTGGGGCCACAACGCCATATTCGGTCTGATAGTGTTTGGGTAGAAGATATCGGGACACTCGGGCTCTCTTGCTGTGCTTCTGTCCGCGATTTTGACCGGGCGGCGATCAAGTGCGTGATTGATTCAGAACTTGCAACTTCGTGCACCTATGATAGATACAAGTCAGCGAAGAATAGTTAAGGTGCATGGAGATCCAGTGGTGCTAGGCCGCGTCAACGGCTGGCTGTCACCACCGTATCAGAGCGAACCGCTGCTCGTCTGTCACAGGTTCGCCAAGAGAAGGGGGCCCCCACAGACCCTGCCGTATTCAGTGTTCAGATTCTTACTTGGGAGGCCCCCGCGGGAAATTTGGGGAGGACAGGATGTCTGCGGGGAGGTGCATGCTTGGGGTGCGGCGCGCCGCCTTGCCTTCACATACCCTCACGCTGCCCTGCCGAGAACCCCCTGTGCCCCGCCACGCAACGCCCTGGCGTCGACTCACAGTCCCTGAAGCATCGCATTCATTTTGGCTCGAGCACAAGTGCAGGGGATGCGATAGGTGGTCATATTCGCACAACTGATGGCGCGGACCTGCAGCGATCGATTACAACTGGCACATGTTGGAAAGCGGCCGCAACATGAGTGAAATGCCCTTTGCAAGGCACATCAGCACAGCATGCACTCAGCATCGGCCACGCAGTGCCACCCAGCCGTTACGATTAAAGCCCACAACAGGTTCATTGGCAAGTACAAGTAAGGCAGCTTAAAACGCCCCCCCTAGCGACCCGTCGCTCGAGGAGTTTGGGCATCGATGCCCTTGCCGGACATTCTGAACTTGATGAACTCACAAGATCCTGTCCCAGCGCAAATGACAGCAGGATCGCACCTCGCATAACCCCTGTGTACAGTCGCTCCAGTGCGGCCGCTCCTTCACCTCGCAACAGCAGCGCGGCTGGCGCCAATGATTGGTATCCCCACCCAAAAACTGCTTGTGCGATATACACAGTGTAATTGCTTTGCACCCTTGCATTGCGTGACAAGTGCAAGGTCGACCTACGTCCCGTTCTGTGACAATCTGCATCGGCGGTACCAAAAGACAGGACTATGCTCAGGTCAGTATGTCACGCACGGCACGTGCCCGCGCCCATTGGGTCTTTGGCGGTCAACGTCTCTGTCTCGAGCAAGTACCTAAACAACCCAAATTTTGGGAAGCTCATCACTTCTTGTTCTGCAAAAGGCTGCTGGAACACTGAGTGAGATGTGGGACTCGACTGATTTGTGAGCAGTGATACTGTAGGGCCAGTAGAGGTGCACAACCTGAAAAAACCGACTGCACGACATAGCAGTTTGCCATGCCCTGTATTATAGTAAGCTCATCATTGAGAAAGGAATTCCCAGGTCATATCTTTGCTTTCAGGCGCAATGACTCCATCAGCCGCAACAGTTGGCAGCTTTCCTGCTGCCAACAGATTTGCGGTGCTCCTCGTGACTCGCAGTGCAGCATTGACAGCCGTAGAGGAGGACTGATAAACAAGGGTGTATTCAGCGGCAGATTTTCAGCCTGGTTGCACGCCAAGGCTCCCCAATCCTGAATGGAGGCAGCGCCCAGAAGGCACGAAGAGCGATGGAACATCACCAGGTCAGCAGTCGAGCGCTGTCATCAAGTCTCTCAACCCTAGGCTGAAGCATGGTGGCTGTGCCGCAAACAACCAGCCCACGCTTTCAGCAAAAAGCTGCCCTTGCGGCTGGCTGACAGCCCCTGTTGGACGGAACGCCCTGCACCCTTGTGCAACTGCAGCATGTCACTGCAACCGACACATGTCGTCACTTGAGAGGCGCCATGTGTTGGCGCAGAGCAAGTTGGTCTTGAAACCACTGCTCTGACATACGCGGTGGATTAATCCGCAATGCGATGGGGGCGCACACACCTTTAGGGCATTAGGGCTGGACGCGAGGCGCGTCAGATCACATCGCGACTGCTTGAGCTGTAGTGATCTTGATGGCGTCTAGAACAGGCTGGATTCTAGCAATAGTGGCAGCGTGCGCCCTCAGCGGCCTGGCCACTGGTGCCAGGCCCCGCGCTTCATCACGGGGCGCTGACATCGCAGGCCCAGGGGCTGTAGAGTTTGCAGGGGATCTAAGGGACTCGCTGACATCGACGCAGCCCGTGCCCGGCGCCGGTGGAACGCTGCGTGCCGTGGCAGCAAGGCACGACATCCTGGTGTGGATGATGCGGCTGAACAGTAGCCAGTGTACCAGCGCAGCAGCAACCCCATGCTATAACATCTATACAATCAACAGTACGACCGGCGAGCTGCTGTGGTTTGCATACAGGTGGGTCGGGCGTCCCCGTCATCGTTGCCGCCAGGCTGCTGCCCGTTGCTCATGGGCAGCCTGCGCCCATATGGCCGCGCCCCCCCCCCCCACACACACACACCCACACACACCATTAATCCCTCCACCTGCATGAACTCCGGCGCCTTGATTACATGCTCGGCCACCCACAGCACCGACATCACGGGCATCAAGGGCGCAGCGCTCGGCCGCCGCGCCCTCTACTTCACGACCTGGTCCGGCCCCGGCCTCTACTCCGTCAGCCTCGCCTCCGGCCGCGTGCGCTGGCAGTTCCCCCTCAACAACTGGTTCGCATACTGGCGCAAAGAGATCGACCTCCCCCCGTCCGCGAGCTTTGAGGACGCGGCGGAGGGCGGCGCCGGCACCGTGTTCGCAACTGCGGCCGGCCCACCCGCGCGGGTCTACGGGCTAAGAGTCAAACGCGGGCCGACGGAGCAGCGGTGGGAGTGGAGGGCGGACCTGCCGCTGGGGCGGCTGGCTGACGTGGCGGGCCCTGAGGAGGCGGACTCGTGCCGCCGCCGAAGCCTGGTGGGGAACCGCGGCGGCGGAGCCGATGCGGAGGGCGGCGGCGGCAGCAGCAGCGGCGCAGGCGTGCTTGCTGACGACGATGATGATGATGGTGAAGGCGCGGACTGCTTCGTGGGCGCCCCGCAGGCGCCCGCGCCGGCACCGCCGCCGCCGCCGCCCAAGCCGGTGCTGTACCTGGCTCTCGTCAGCCCCGACGGCTCCGGCAGCTGGCTGCAGGCGCTGTCGCTGGCCGACGGCTCGCCGCTGTGGACCGGCGAAATCGAGCCTGGCGTCACGTTTGAGCGCATGGAGCTCGACGGGCCGCGGCTGCTGGTGGCAGACGAGGAGGCGGGGGTGATTTTGGCGTATGACAAGGCAACGGGGCAGCTCCTGTGGCGGCGCGAGGGCGCCTTCTGCGCGACGCCGAGCCCGATCGCACGTGTATACGCGCCGGAGCGGCCACGCACGCGCAGCGGCGACGCCGGCGGCGCCGGCAGCAGAAGCAGCCGCGGCGGCGGACGGGGTTTGCAGGGCAGCAATGATGGTAGCGGCAGCGGCGGCCACAGCAGTGTCGGGGGCGTTCTCTTGCTCTCTCGCGACTGTGACGCGCTCGACGGCCTCTCGGCAGTTGACAGCGCGACGGGCAAAGCCCTGTGGACGGGCCTCGACGCACCGCACGCCGCCCGCGCCGACGGCGGGTGCTCGTGGCTCGAGGTGGACGGGGGCGTCGCGTACCTAGGCTGCAACTGCCCCGCTGATGACGCCCCCGTGGCCGCCCGAGGCGCCACCTCACCACGACCGCGATTGAAACTCCGGCAGCGCGGCCGCCTCGACGGCCAGCCGCGGCTGCGGCCGCGCCACGGCGCCAACACAAGCACGGTGTGTGTGTATGCCGTTGACCTGGTCACGGGAAAGCGCGAGTGGTGGAGCGAGGTGGAGATCCCGGGTGTCGCAGCGTTCGACCCCCTCGGACAGGTGTGGGGCCAAGGCCCTGTGGTCATGCGCCCAAGCTCGCGCCGCGCCGCTCTTGGCGGCGACGGTGGCAATGGCGGTGTCCCCGCGCAAGGTGGCGGGCGCATTACCAGTGGCGACGGCAGCGACGGCGGCGGCGGCGGCAGGGTGGTTGCTTTCCTGACAAACACCACAGTCGTCGGGGTCAGTGCTTTAAGCGGCAAGGCGTTGTGGCAGCTGACGCTGCCGCCTGGCGAGTGGCTCGCGCCCTGGCAGCTGCCGGCCCAGATGCTGCCGCCCGGGGACGAGCGCCGCGTCGGCGCGAGCCCGCTGCTGCTGCTGCACTCGCTGCGCGGCGCGGGCAACCGGACGTCCGTGTATGCGTTGGACGGCCTCAGCGGCAAGCAGGCGTGGACGCGGGCGTTCAACGGCTCCATGCAGCCGCCGCTGCACCCGTCTGACGGGGGCTTCGCGCTGCCCGTCGGGCCGCTCGTGTTTTCGGAGGCCTGCCGCCGCGGCCGCTGCTGCCTGCGGGCGCTCAACGCGACGACAGGCAAGCAGGCCTGGGCGGTGTGCCTCGACGCGGAGCGCGGCACCGACCCGACCAACCCGCGCGCCCAGTTTGCGATCTGGGTCGTCACCCTGGTAACGATCGCGTCCGTCGCGGCGCTCATCCTCGGCGCCGCGCTGCTGTACGTCCACCGCTGGGCGGACGAGCGCTCGCTGCTCAGCGGCGGCGGCGACCAGGGCAGCGAGTATGAGGCGCTGGCGCCGAGCGGGCGGCGGCACCTGGCACCCGGCAGCCGCGGGGGGTCGAGCGGGTCGGACGACGAGGGCGGGGGCGGCGGCACCGCACCGCGCCTCAGCTTGTTTGCGCGTGCGGGCGGTGCAGCGGCGACGGTGCTGGGCGGCCCGCCCAGCCCGGGCAGCATCGCCGCAGCTGCAGTCGCGCTGGACAGTGGCAGTGGCAGCGGCCAGGGAGCAGGCGGCGCCAGGGTTGGTGGGTTGCTCGGGCAGCAGCTGTTTGGCGGGCGGGAGCGCGTGCCGCCTAGGGGCGCGAGGCGGCCAGCGGATGATGCGGCGGCGGCACAAGTCGGTGCCGGCGGCCCCGCCATTCCGTACCGGCCCAGGGTCTCTTAGTAAGTACGTGAGCTGTATTTTTTCTTGCGCTGTGCATCGTGTGTTGGCGCGTTGTCTCCATCACCATGAACACGGCAGCCCTTCATTTTGGGGAGTGTGCTTGATGTAGTGTTGTGCAGGTGCTCAGCTGCAAGGTGTGATCCATGCCGCATCCAGGATTGGCAGTGTACATCTGCGCATGCAACGCCTTGTAATTCAGTCTGGGGAGTTGGGCCTGTGAGTGCTGGCCCTTAGGCAGACCAAGAGTTGGGATTGACCAGGGGTCAACCTCTCATGCCAAAGCCAGCGTGGCGGGCTTGATGAGGTCACCTATGAAGCAAGTTATATATCAGAGTTGCATGCAGCGCGTGCGGCTGCATGCAACCGCATGCAGTTTTCTGAATGATGGGCCTTGCTTGGGCTGAACTGGGGAACAGAGCCACTCACGTGACAAGTGGAGAACCAGCATGGCCGGATAGGAGACACCCAGAGTACATCCACATCTTGAACATGCCCATGACCTTTCTCGGGCGTTGTGCTACATGATACAATGGCCACTTGACATCCTTCTGGCTAGTGGGCAGCTTCTCAAGGACCGCCTGTGACCTGTGATTATCATACTGTATACTTGCGACGAGAAGGTGGTTGTAGTGTTTGTCAAAAACCATTTCTTGAGCGCAAAGCTGCTTACAAGATCTACGTGTCCGACCGTGCTACTCGACAGCCCTTGGCTTGGGTGCGCGATTATCTGTGTCAAACGTGTTTTGGCTGCCAGACGCCGCTTGCTAGCACTCGGGCCTAAAGTCCCTAGGAACGCCTTGCGGCGCGAACAACGCTCGGCGGCGCAGCGCGAGTGGCGCGGGGCGTGGGGCACGCAATTCGTCCAAGCCTTCGGCATTTTGCAGCAGGCAATCGCCCAGGCAGCGACAAGGCAGGGCGCTAGGCGGCAGCAGGCGCCAGCCTGAGCGCCAGCCCATCGCACCATGCAGCACCCGCCGGCTGCGCCGCACGCCCTGCCCGTGCCCAAGGTGCAGCTGCCCGATGATGGCGACCCCGTGCCCGGCGCGACGCGGCTGGTCAACCAGGGGTACCGCTTCAGCGCGGACACCGATCAGATCGGGGAGGGCACGTACGGCAAGGTGTTCCGCGGCTGGGACCTGGCTCGCCACGACAAGGTGGCCCTGAAGATGATTCGCACGGACAGCGAGAAGGAGGGCTTCCCAATCACCGCCATCAGAGAGATAAAGATCCTCAGCAACCTGAAGCACGACAACATCGTCAACCTGCGGGAGATCGTGCGCGGCGAGGGTGAGGGCGACGCGCGCAGCGCGCCGCGCAGCTGGTCGTCATGCGGCCGCCATGCGTGGGGCCGGCTCATGCACGTCCCACGCGGGAGCCGCCGCTGCACCAAACGAGCGCACGTTGCCGCCGCCCGCCATGCGCAGTGGACGCGGCCAGCGCCTACAAGGGCGCGATCTACATGGTGTTTGACTACGCTGAGCACGACCTGACGGGCATGATCGACTCTTACAAGGGCAAGCTCACCGTCACACAGGCGCGGCCCCTTGCCTGCTCCCGCGACCGTGTGGGGCCCCGCTCTTGCAGAGCTTGGCCTTGTAGGCCCTTTCCACGGCGCCAGCGGCGCGTGTCGCTGGCCGATTTGGACTGGTAGTAAAGTCATCGGGGTGCCCGGCATTCGAGCGGAAAGCGCGATGCTGCGCGCCGCCCTTCCAAACGCCCGCAGGTCAAGTGCATTATGATGCAGCTGCTGCGGGGCCTGTCCTACTGCCACGCTAACGGGGTGCTGCACCGCGACCTCAAGGCCGCGAACATCCTCATCACACGCGAGGGGTGAGGCGGCGCTGCATGGCCAGGGGTATCTGCGCCATAGGCCAGGCGGTGCTACTGGAAGCAGCTGCCGCTCAGGTGCAACAGCTGCATTTGGCCTGGGGCTTGAGAGGCTGCACGCACTGCGACCCAGGGAGCGCCCCTCAGCCCGCTGCGCCCTTGTGCGCTGCCCTGCAGCATCCTGAAGCTGGCTGACTTTGGCCTAGCGCGCACCTACCTGGAGGAGGGCAGCCAGAAGATGACAAACAGGGTCATCACGCTCTGGTACAGGTGTGCAATGTTGATGGTGGTGCATTTGTCATTGGGGGGGCCGCATGCGATTCGAGCGGGGTGCCATGCGGTTGAAGGGGAGGGGGGGGCGGGGCGGTGCACTGCGATTGGGAGGGGGTGGTGCCCGGCGCTCAGGACGAGCACCTGGAGCCTACCAGCTTGCACGGCCTGGGCCGAGGCCTGCATTCAAAGTGTCAGTGTGGTCAGCCACACAGCCCCCCGCCCACACGCCGCCAGCTGCCGCACCACGCCGCCACGCCGATCGCCCTCCGTCCGCCCGCAACGCTGCCGGTCGCCGCACGCCGCCCCTCGCCGCTTAGGCCCCCTGAGCTGCTGCTGGGCGCGGAGCACTACGACCCTAAAATCGACGTCTGGTCTGTCGGCTGCATCTTCGCGGAGCTGCTGTCTGGCAAGCCCCTGTTTCCAGGTGAGAAGAGTGGCCCGCCCGCTCTTGTCCCCCCCTGGAGGGCGCTGCGGCGGCGCAGGTCCAACGGCCCGCCTGCAGCGTCAAAAGGGTCGCTCTCTGGGGGTCTTGTCAAGGTGTGACGCCGGTTTGGGTCGCGACCCTCCATGCAGGCAACGACGAGGCCAGCACGCTGCGGCGCATCTTGGACTTCATGGGCTTGCCCACCAACAAGACCTGGCCCGGCATTGAGGAGTGGCCCTTGTGAGCCTCCCACATGCACGCGTGCAACGCTGGCGGCCGTGCGCAGCCTGAGATTTGGAGGGGCATGGGCCAGATGGGGCTCTCCTCGCTAGGCCCACTTGCTTCAGACTAGCGGCCGTGGGCTCTTGCAGCCTTGCTGAGCCTTGATGTGTGCCCTGGCTTCCCCACTCACCAGCTACAAGGACATAAACAAGACCAACCTGCAGCCTGACAACAACTCGCGCTTCGTGCGGTGGTGAGCCCTGTGCAGGACCTGCAAACTGGCAAGGGCGCCGCGTTCCTTGCCTTCCACCCCCACGCTGGACTCTCGATGAGCCTGCTTTTCGCTCGACTCCCGCTGTCATCTGCTGCCCTACTTGCGACTCCCACCCTTCAACAGCCATGCAGCCGCCATGCAACCGCCATGCAACCGCCATGCAACCGCCATGCAACCGCCATGCAACCGCCATGCAACCGCCCCAGGTGCAAGGAGCACCTGATGGACCAGGCGGCGGTGCCCCTGCTGCAGAGGATGCTGACGCTCGACCCACGCAAGCGCGTGACCGCCTGCGAGGCTCTCATGGTGGGTGGGACCTACCGCAGACGAAGCGGACGCAGGGACGGCTTGGGCGCTGTGGAACCCCCCCGGAGGAGGCTGGCTGCGCCGCGGCCCCCAGCCTCCGCGGTATTGCGTTTGGCAACCACTTCCGGCTGCCGTGTTATCCTACAAACCCCAACCGCAGTCTTCTTGCATGCACCTGTCATGCGAACCACTGATCGCCTGGCCCACACCGCCACGGCATGCCCCGCCCCGCCCGCCTCCGCTGCCTCTTGTGGCGCCGCAGGACCACTACTTGTGGGACGCGGCCCCGCGGCCCTGCAAGCCCTCTGAGCTGCCCAAGCTGCCAGACTCCCACGAGTTCACGACCAAGAAGAGCCGCGACAAGCGCCACCACCAGGCGCAGCAGCAGCAGCAACAGCAGCAGCAGCAGTATGCCCAGCAGCAGCAGCAGCAGCAACAGCAGCAGTATGTGCACGCCGGTCGCTTGCCGTACGGCGCGGCGCCAGGGTACGGCAGCGGCGGCGTGCAGGGGCACGCACCGCCGCACTTGCAGCAGCCCGGCGGCCACGATGGGAGGAACGTGCGGCAGCGCACGGGCCCGCCCCCATCAGGTGAGAGCCAATGCAGCTGCCACACACGCATGTGTAAAAGCATGTCAGCCGCTCTGGATATTCGCGGCTGTGCTAATGAGTGTCTCACTCCGCTGTACTGCCCTTGCTTCTTGCTCACTGCTGCCGACAGGGTATGTCATGCCAGCTATGGGCGGCGCCGTTGCGCCCCCCGGAATAGCGCCTGGCGCGTACGGGGCGCCGGCACCCATGGCCCCCTATGGCGCCCCGCCGCCTGTGGGGCGGGGCGCTGGGCGCGGGTACGCCCCACCGCCTGGGCCGGCCGGCCGCGGATTCACGCCTGGCAGCCAGGGGGGCCCCATGCCGCCGGGTTTTGCAGGGCAGCAGCAGCAGCAGCGTCAGGACAGGAGCTCGAGTGGTGGTGGCGGGCATTACGGGCGGTGAAGGTGGGGGCTGAGCTGTCGTGCTGCTCTCGACAAGGTGACTGATTTACGGCCTGCTGCTTGCATTGGGATAAATGCATCATCAACGCCGGCTGTAAGTTATGCAACCACACCTTATGCCATGGGGGGGGCATGGTTTGAAACCAGCAGCAGCTTCGCGGCTAGCAAGTGACAGCGGCGGTGCATGCAACAGCGCTACATGCCTGCGTTACTGCAGTAAGGCATGAACGAAGCCGATACATCCAGCAGCGCCGCCTGTGAGCGCGAGATATGCTGCCGGAGAGATGACAGAAGCCGAGATCGGTCCAGTGCGGGACCAGCTGTACTCTGACAAGCAGAAGATTCGGAAGGTTTGAACCAAAAATCGGGTAGTGCGCCTCGACCTCTCCGCACGTACTTGCTCACGGGGCGCCAGATCGTTTTCTCTGTGTGCAGGAGGGCATCAAGCGGCTGGAACGCCTGTTAGACAGCCCAGAGTTCAAATTAAAGCTGGACAGACGCACCGCCAGGATATGGCCCGAGGATGGCATTCCATGTGCGCTCGATGCAGTCGGCCGCTGATGGTCACCCGGGTGCAACTGATGGGGGGCAGTTTGGGGACCCCGCGCGCACCAGCTGCAGCGCGTATGCACTGTCAGCAGCGTTCGAATTCTAATCGGCCCGCCCATCTTTGCGAGAGCCGTTGCTGTCGGAGCGCCCTCCCTCCAGAGCTCCTGGCATGACTCGGGCAGCTGGCACCCAGCGCCTCCGCCCGCGCCCTGCGCAGTGGCGTCATGGCCGGGCCTGGTGGACGTGTACCTGAGGCACCTGAAGAAGGGCGGCGACCTCGCCGCCAAGCGCTCCGGCGGCGACGTCGCGGGCGTGAGGCTGCTGCGGCGCATCGTCGCCGCGGCCGACGACGAGGAGCGATGCGGTGGGCGGCGTGGCGGGCAACCGCATGGGCTGGGGCGCAGGCGCTGGCTGGCTGCATGCTGCGGTGCTGGCGCCATGCAACCCAGCCTGCGCCTTGTTATGAGTATCGCACCCCATCAATGGAGCCGCATGCGGCGCAGCACCCCTCACGATGGCCGCCCTGCCGCGCTTGCAGGCCCCCACGCCTGCCACGTGCTGCGCCGCACGCCGCAGCTCTTTGCGTTCGTTGGGGACGCCCTCCACACGCCGGATGCCTTCAAGGGTGGCACCGGCACGGAGCTGTGCATGCTGCTGCAGAAGCAGCTGCTGAGCAACCCGGCCTACTGCCAGCGTGTCCCGGTCGCCAAGTTCATTGGTGAGCAATGGAGGTGCAGCTACAGACTGGCAGGGCCGGTGTATACCCTGCCCTAGTGATGAAGTTGGCATTGCGTGTCCCATCCTGCAGTGGGTGGATACCCAACAACTGAGCGTATCTACCGGGTGTGCTTGTGGAGCGATGGAAAGTGCGGGGCATGACTCAGTTGCAAGCAGAAGCTGGCCCCCACAAACCTAGTTGTCAAGCCCGCCCCCTCAACCCCTCACCATGACCCACGCCCGCCTGCCCAGTGGTAGCAAGAAAAGCACTCATCTCCTCCTCCACAATTCCCTGGCCTGACCAGAAGTCCTGGGCCCCATTATGGATCACATGGAATCGCTGCTGGACCCCCAAGCCCCGCCGGCATCGCGCGCGCATGCGTCCACCCAGCGCGGCGCGCCGCCCGGCGGCAGCGGCGTCATCGCGCCGTCTGAGGAGCTGCAGCGGCTGTCGGGGCTGGTGCTGGCGCTGCTGACGCAGGCGCCGGGCGTGCTGCCGCCGGGGACGGCGCAGGACGTGCTCGTGTTCTTGGGGAACGTGATCAAGGCCATGAACGAGCAGAGGTGAGCCGTGGGGCCGCTGTTGTAACAGGCCTGCGTCGTCCCAGCAGCAGCGCCAGGCTCGGGCGCTTTTTCGCAGGGGCTGGGACCCAGCGCGCCGCCGCTAGCCATCCGATTCTGCGCTGCCCCAATTGTGTGCGATCCGCTCCCCTCCTCCCGCCTACAGCAGAACACCCGCCGCCCTTGCACCCTCTTCGCACGCTCCCGCAAAGGGAGTTCTCCAAGACCGCCCTCAACGCGCTGCAGGCGCTGCAGCACCTGCTGCTGGCCTGCGGCCACTCGCTGCGGGGCGTGCCGCTGTACGAGCAGGCCAGCCACGTGCAGATGTACATCAAGCGCGCGTGGCGTGAGGGACGGCTGCCGCGCTTCAAGGTGGGCTGGCGAGCCGGCGCGCGGCCCCGCATGCTTGTGCTGCGCCTTGGAATGAGAACAGCATAACGTTTGTGGGTTGTTCGCTCCCCCCGCGCGCCCGCCATCACATGATGAGTAATGCACCCTCCACGCCGCCCCGTGATGCAGGAGGCTCTGTACGGCTACTGCCGCGCTGCGCTGCGGCTGGGCCTGCTGCAGGCGCTGGGCCCCGTGGCGGTGTCGGAGGTGCAGCAGCTGGTGCTCAACGACCTCACAGCTGATGAGTTCAGCTGGTGAGGATGAATTCTGGCTGGGCCTGGGTTGACATTGAGTTCTCTCAAGGAGTTGCCAGATTCATCATATGTGTGTCTGTCTGTGCATATGTGTGTGTGTGTATGCAAGAGAGTAAGAGCGACTGTGTGTGTATGCGCATGCGTGTGTGTGTGTACCCTGTGTGCGTGTACGTGTCTATGTCTGTGTGCGCGCGCAATTTTGTGTGTGTGTGTGTGTGTGTGTGTGTGCATGAGTGGCGCTCTCCTGCGCATGTGCGAGCGCGTGTGGGGCCGATCCTACATTGGCGAGGCCATCTGCCGGTGCTGCCCGTAGCTGCGGATCAGGCGGGGTTGGTGCAAGTCTGGAGCAGGGGCACAGGTTGCCGCTTGCATGTGGAGAGGCCTGGCCTCATGCGCGCTCTGCTCCGCTCCCAAAGGCTGCCACCATGGACTCGCTACCGTTGCCTTGATTGGAAAAATCCTCCAACCCCCAACGGCGCAGGGACACCGAGGGCGGGCAGCCGGGCGCGCCACTGGCGCGCCACCATGCGGCGCTGGCGGCGCTCGCGGGGGACCTCTTTCACTACGGCCAGGCCTTCCACGAGCAACAGCAGCAGCAACACACCTCGGCAGTGGCGGCGGCGCAGCCGTCCCAGCCGCACCCGCAGCAGCAACAGCAGCAGCAGCAGGGGTGCGGACAGCAGCGGCGGCGGCGGGCCGGCCGGGGGTCGGGGTCTGACGGCGGCGGCAGCGATGGCGGGGACGTGGACGCAGATGACGAGGTGATGGGAGAGGAGGAGCTGCTGGAGCTGCCGAAGAAGCGATCTCGGGTGACGGCCCCAATCAGCCGCCTCGTCGACTTCTGCTCGGACCGCGCGGCGCGCTGGGGCCCCCCCGCCGCCGCGCTGCTCCGCCAGCACGGCGCCGCCGCCCTCGCGGCCGCGGCGGAGGGCACCCACGCAGCGGCATCCGCAGCGGGCGGCGGCGGGTGCTGCTACGCGCTGCTGCTGCTCCGCGGTCTCGCGGCGCGCGCGCCGGCGATGCTCGCCGCCGCGGCCTCGGAAGCGGCGGCGGCGGCGGGCGGC